AAATACATTGTTTATTTAAATGAAATTTGAACACGCGCTGCGCGACGACCACCGCGCTTTAAGGTAAGTAGAACTAACCTGAGTTTGTTGATAATAGAGTCTTTAAAATTTCATCACCAAACTACAAAAGTCAACCATGATAGGATACCGACCTAATTCACCATGACAAGCACTGTTAGAAGACTTTTTATGAAGAACCGAGACTCTCTTACAGAATTTTATGTGGAAGTTTTCAGATAATAACTTGACAGAAAATAATTGTGAAGTAAATTTATCATTTTCTATAACTGATTTATTTTTGCCTGATTCAGAACCATTAAATATATTAACGTGAGACAATCCCATAGCATTTTGTGCATATGAAACATTGCATCCCGAGCCTTGTCATAAAGTTTAGAGGGTAGCTGCTCAAAATTTACCATTAGACAAAAAAAATATTGTACATGTAATTATAAATATAATTGATTGGCGTTTCATTCAGGTACGGTAAAACTAAAATTCATTCTCCAGATTTTTACCTGACCCATTAAAAATCATCACTTTGCCTTTTTTAACATTAAATTAATCATCCTCTTCGTGCCAGAATTTCCACATTACTTCTAGTATTTTAAAACGGCTGTAAACATTGAATTCAATTGTCAAAGTCAAAAGTTGTCTACAGTAAATTGTGAGAAGATATTCATCATATAGATGGATACTTGTTTGCATCTCTTGTTAATTATGTAAAACACATGCAGTTATAATCTGTTTCAATAAAAGAAGTATTCTAGACATGTTTTTGAGTGTGTTCATTTGAGAATAGATTTTAGTTTTTCACATCATGGATGCTAGCCGGTGAAGGCGCCACTCGTACCTACATATCAGGATACATGGATGCGGCCTCTTCAAAAAGTGCTTTGCTAATCAAAATGTGTCACACATCTTACAAAAGCGTATTTTATATGTATCGTTGCAAGAATATTTTCGAGGTAATTAAAAAATTCAAGGCTTCAAACACGCTTTTTAGTAGTTGGATAGACTCAAATTTTCGCATATATTTAATATGTAATCTAAAGGCCGTGGGAACTAACATCCGTGGAGACGACCGCTGACCATGACTATATTTGTACACGATTCAGTCGATTTGCATAAACCTGACATCATATATCTTGCCACAAGGCCTAAAATATACCGTTTCTCGTCAGCGCCTCACCTCCCTATTTTTATGAAACAATTCGACCAAAAACAAATTTTGCGAGGCCGACTCGGAGAGTACTCTCTAGGGGCAATTGTTGGTTGGTGTAAATGGTATTGGAAATTACAGTATTATCAGAATGGCAATCAAGGAAACTCCTATCATATCATTTATACGTTTGCACCTGTTTATGCCTATGTCACAAGGTTTGCACTAGACCACCGGAGATGCTGTTGTTTTCATTGCATTCAATTACTGATAACAAGTCGTCACCTTAGCCACACCAAAAAGCAGTGTTACAGCCATTCATATCAGGCAAGTTATCCGTTCATTAAAGAAACATCAAAATGATGTTAGATTCAAAATTATTTTCGCAAAATAAGAATGGTCGGATCTATTGTCAATCCGGGATAATGAATAACCCAGTGCCTAGAATTAAAGAGTGTAATCCTTACGCAGTGGCATTATAACATTATGAAACAAAATGGAAAACAAGCAGAACGATCACCAGCAAATAGCCAATTATTTTGTCAAGATATCTACTGGGATTTTACTAACAAAGCCTCGGAGAAATGCCTACAATCTCTAGAATAAATTTTAGAATGATACAAATTAGTCTGGAATTTGGAAAATTCTTTATTGAAATGCCAAGCAGGAAAACTGCATAGTTTAATTACATGTTGTTACATAACAACATTCGACCCTTGAGTAAATTATTAAAATGGAAAAATCACATCTTTAGCATCGCGTGGATTATGTAATGTTGCTGAAGACCCTTTTCATTGTTCTCAGACGATACTTTTTGTTGAAAGAGGTCGGGCAATTAGCAATGTTATGAAGATAGACCCCCCGTTAGACGCTCCAAGTGGATACAAAGTAGATTTATGCGAATCCGAAAAAAATTAATAATGTCAGTGACATAATTAGCGAAAATATTAAAAGGGAACAATATTAGGCGTGTTCTATTTTATATTAATCATAAGAAGCAAACTAAGATGATGAAAGTATATGGTTTATAAACAGATACGTTGTTTGTATTACGTAATATTTTGAAGTATTTAAAAAAAATAAGTCAGAATGGACGGATGAATACTCTTATAATCTGCAGACGAGATATTTCTAACCCCTATAAACCGTAGCAGTGCTGACTACTTAACAATTCATGAATATTTATGTTTACATTCATGGAAATTAATAGTATTGTAATAACCAACAAACTAATTTGATGATGGTCAATTTTCATGAATTAACGGCATTTCAACGCCACATTCTTCTTTGGAAGATCGACATTTCCAAGTTCAAAATAAAATCATTCGATTTTCGTGGCAGACGTTTGGTCTGTTACTTTTCGAATGTACCTGGACGAATACATGGGCTGTTAAATATTTGTGTTTGATACTGCATTTTTAAAATGCTGTTTTAGCAACACACACAACAGTGTCCGTTATGTTAAGCCTTTAAAGCAAACAGCGCCAAACAGTGACATGACATACTTACCAGCTTTAGCGTCGCTGGCGGCGCACTAAAAAAAAACGCTTAGAAAAGCATATCGTATGCCCTCGTATCCCAAATGGAAATCCCTTATTAGTATTCTAACCTATCGGTATAAAGAATTGTTGCTAAGAACAACTAGCATTTTAAATGAAACAGAAAATGGATTGTAGACCATCATGATGACCATCCAATGTACAAGGCTGACTTGTATTCTACCCATAGTTAGATAATAAGACGGAGAAACATAAATAACAATACAATTAATATTTAAATTTCAACCAGATTGAATCTCATTCAATGTACGTGAAATTATTTTTTAGTAGGACATGACCATATTTTAAAAATTGTATGTCAAACCAAATGAGTGAAGTTGAAAATAAAAAAAAAAGAACAATAAAATAAATATTTTAAAAAAAATAACAAAAAAATAATTGGAGCTTATAATCACACCAAATTCTAATAAGATTGGGAAAGACTTTATTCAATCAAGACAGGTGTTTTGTATAGCTATGGTATTATTTTTGTTTGCCATGTAACCTAAAGAGGTTATAGGCGATTATGAAAATTACAGCAGTGATTTTATTTCCCAATAAAGATGACAGTTATTCTTTGAAAAAAAAGGTAGAAAGAAGAAATAAAATGTGAATGCTGCCAGAGATGGCGGATTGTAATAATCGACAATCTCAATATGCCACACAAAGATCTTTGTTACAGCAATTTAAATTTCAATCCAAAAATGTAATATAATAAATAATTGGCCATAAATGAACACAACTGAAGAAGAAAAACATTTCTTGTGCATACCCAGGTAAAGCATGAAAGCCTTATTAACATAATTATTGTCCTTGGGCATCACCCAACTTTAAGGGCTTGAGTTGTCAAATACTTCATAAACGTCATACTGGTAGCCTTTCGTTGTGTTGTCACAGGTAGCGCTGTTCCAGCACAGACATCGGTGTAGAAAGGACGCCGACCTGCAGCGTCAACGGGTAGCCTTTGATTCACCAGAAATTAAATAAAATAAAAAAGAAAACCATATCATTCCATTTGTTCAAGTGAGACAGGACCAAGAATATGTAATGACAATTATCTTGAAATTTCTTCAGTTGAATTGTGTATAAGTATTGACAATTTAGGGGAGGGCAAACATGTTTGGCATTGTCCAAATTTCATGGTTTCGCTAAAGCCAACCATTCATTGCTGGACCACAAACTACGACCAAATAAAGCTATATACAGAGTGCAGTAAAAAGAAAAACAAAAGTTTCTTGTTACTATGTTCTCCAAAATTAATACATGCATGTACTTGCTCTATTTTAATTTTTGAGGTAAAGCTGAATTCTTCAAAACTTCTGACAGGTAACTTAAAGCACAATTTCAAGTGCAGCATGCAATGACCAGAAATATATTTTTCGTTTGGGCCTATTATGTGTCATATACAAAAGCATCAGTTACAACATATAAATGGATCAGAAATGTATTGCCAGTAGCTGAAAATTTCCAGGCATTTCTAATGAAATTGAGTTTTCTGCATCATTAGGACATTCTCGCCGCCAGAGTTTATTTCTGCTTTGAGACTCAACGTACTCAATGTAGGCTTGCCGTAAAGAGGCTGAGGCCGTGGCGTACAACGATGCATTAGGTTGCCACTCACACACAGGAGTAGAAATTGCACACTATGATTTTGTTGCATGATGCAGTTCAGCACTTTGAGACACTGAACAATGACATCTGATGCTAACAGGTCCCAATTTTATGTATTTTGCCATGAAGAAATCAACATTTTTGCAAATATTGTACTCGTAATCACTGAACCACTGCAAGATTAAAAAGTCACAAAACAACACTAACTTTTTCCAAACACTTTATTTTAAACTACATATATACTCTGAGCTAAAATCTAGATAAACACAAACTAAACACAGGAAAATGAAAATTTCAATAACATATTGTATTTATATAATTTATATATTATATCATATCATATCATATCATATAATTAAATTAAGCTCTGTTTAAAAATTCATATATAGTATATACATTTTTGAATACTTTTGAAAAGTAATTTATCAACTGAACATTTTCAAAATAATGGAAAACTGCTAACAAGCAACCTCCTATCAAAACATTGTCATTAATTAATTGACAATTTGTTCAAATTAAAGTTTCAGAACTATTCATTAATGGCATAAATTTTGGAGCCACTAAGATGCTTCTTTCTGTTGATATAACGAAGATGCTCGTCTAGTCAGCTTTGCAGCTCTTCGTGATTGTTCTCCTTTTGACTTGTGATGTCAGTGTTTTCGTTTATTTGTTGTTTCTTTGCATCTGGCTCATTTTCTATCTTCCTTGGAGGCACCCGGAATTGTGAGGTTTGTGATGCTCTCTTCAGAGACCTGAGCTGGAATTTGCACATCAGTCTGGATGGGGATATCTTCATCAGGAATGACAAGCATATTGTTGTTCGGCTGCAATGACTGATCCAGAAGCAATGTCTTGACAGCTTCTTCTTCTTCTGTACCTTCGGAAAGTTTAGTTAAACTAGGTACGAGGCCTGAGATGGGTATGCTGGTGAGGTCGGAATACATCTTGCTGGCTGGGGAGACTGGAGGTGAGGCTACTGTTGAGTTGATGTACTGTATCTTGTTGTTGGGTTGCATAGGTGACAGACCAAACTGTGCAAGGAACTGATTATCTGGTGACAAAGTGAGAAAAGAAGTGCCGCTATTTGACCCATTCATGTAATTCATAGGTGAAAGGAACTGCGTAATCGGAGCATAGCTAGTACTTGGTGATTGATTGATGGTTTGCGGCTGTTGACTTATTGGGAACTGCAATAACACTGATTTGGAGAAGAAGAAAAAAATAGATTAGATTTGATTGTCATGATATGAAAAAAGGTGTCTTAACATTTTAATATCAAATATTGTGCCCTGAAAATGATTAACTTGTGCATTACATTCCCATGATTACTGGTATTATAAATATTATTGAAAGATTTCTAATTCCATGGTCTGCCGGATATCTGACTAAAATTACACAAAACTGACTTAGTGTTGAAAATGTTGAATATATGAATATTTTTTTCAAACCATTTGCTAAAAACCTATACCCTGACAATTGATGATTTTTATATTGTGAACATAGCTTTTTAAGCGTTTTGGAGCTTTATACAGATACTTTTGCTCAAAAAAGAATTACCATTCCAGACACTTTAGACACATCTAATGGCATATATTGATACAGGGTGTAAAAGTCCAAGAACTCTGATATTCTGTTTCAATGGTATCCAAAACTATCATTGTGGGAAAACTAAATGTTGACAAATGTCAAATTTCTGGAATTACGGTCTGAATGTTTTATTGAAATTTACTTATTTACAAAGGCATTTGCATAACATTCAAATCTAAAATCATTGGCAAGTGGAAGCATATGAAATGATCTTTTCAATTTTCAGTTCAACTTGACCCCCAATCTTACATTGCATTATATTCAAATGTTTAGAATATATATATTGTTTCAGCACTGTTAAGAATCAGTATAATTAATACAACAAGAGTTTTGGGGTGTGTCAACTGACGAGCTACAACACCAACCAATTACTACAATTAATTTTACAATTCATATTATTCATTCAGAAATCTATAATATCATGGAAAAATAGTGAATGAAAAAAATATTTAAATTAAAAAAACATTTGTGCATATAATAATCACATGTGTGCTTTAAACTATTCTACAATCATTGGAATTAGAAGAAACTGATCAGGGACGTACCTTGACCATTGTTTCCTTGGTTTACATTGAAATTATTAGTATTCTCCAACGACTGCAAATGATTTCTATGTTTACTGTTTTTGATTACATAATATGCATCTTCACTCCCTTGTTTACCGTTATTGAACAGTCTTCTGTCGTCAACGGGTGTTTTCCTTTCTGCATTTTCTCGCATGCCTCGTGCTGTTGGTTCGCCTCGATGTTTTCTCATGTCTGGGGAGTTGCTTGCTGTGTCGGCGAGTAGCGCAAGACCGTTGTACACCGAATCTGTATTGAGCAGCTGTTGTATCTGGTGATCCGGAAGTGAGGAAACGGTTCTTAGTACGGATGACGAAGGCGTGCTTCGTCGATGATGTTCAAGTTCAGACGGTTGTTGTGCACGGGGAGGGTAGAACAACACAGATGAAGGAATCGACTGTGGCAAATTTTTGCTGTTGAAGCCAGTCTGAATGACATTGTTGCACATATTTCTTACACGATGCTGCTCAGTCGAGTAAGGAGCGTATCTTTGCGATTGATGTACATTTGAACTCGGAGATGGTCGAGCATGACCGCTGTTAAACATTGGACTTGGGCGACCATAGTGCGGCCTGTTTACATTGTTTTTGTTGTACATTTGCATTTCGCCATACTCACGAAACGGTTGAAGATTTCCACTATGCTGTGGTGGCCTGTTACCTTGTAGACAACTGCTTGTTGTGTTTTTTAGCGGTCGACATGGCATTGGGTTATGATGGTTTGCGTTGCGTTGGAGGTGTATCTGACGTTCAGCTGCTTTTCTCCGACTAGCTGCGGTAGACCTACGAACATTGCACAGATATTCAGGGCGGTTTTGCACAAAGTGTTGGTGCTGGAATTGGTGCAGATCACTGCTGCTGCTGTTGTTATAGTCGAGTCCGTCGTGTGTTCTTGCTGAAGGGATTTTGCGAAAACCGTATAGATTCAGCTGTCGTACGAAACTAGAGAAATTCTGCGTCTTGAACATCCCGAAAGCATCATTGAGTACCTCATCTTTAAAAATTTTACTGTTGACTATTATAGTCTTGCCTCCTGGTCCCCACTGTATGGAGCGGTATTTTTTGTCAGAGCACAATTTCCACAGCTTCGAAGGAAAGTTGTTTCCATTTGGGGAAAGACTCGGAGGAATGTTATTGTTACTGCTATCACGATACTCAATGATAGAAGTCATGTTTACGGTCTTCCTTTCAGAGGAGAATTCTCCGAGAGAAGGAAAGAAGTGGAAGTTTGGAAAGACAGAAAAGCTCCTACGTCCGTTCCAGTTTTCCGAAAAGTGTTCGCCGGTTAGAAAATCTGTTATCTGGCGTACGGGTGCGTTTCACGCGAGAAGAGAATGCGCTTTCTGATTGGCCAGTTTACAACGATCCTGCGTTTGAAATCCATTGATTGGCTGAAAGTTTTATAAATGACAGCGCGTTATGACGTGTTTGTGTTTTGAAAGCCGTTGCGTCTGCGTTCGCCAAAAGTGTTGCAACTATGAAGCCTGGAACAACGTTTCGAGTCGCTCGTAGTGCACGCACACTTTTCTCCAGCTCAACGTGCCCGCTATGATTTTTTAGGATTCTGAATTATTACAGTTTATTTTGATTCGTCCCTGAAATCAAAATCGGTATTTCCACACCTCATATGCAAATGAGTCTGAGAGCAAATACAGTAGTCCCTTCAGGAGTACAGTTTTTCAAAACATAGCAGAAATAAACAATATTAAGAAGTACGATATTTTTCTCTTGGGGTACATGAATATATTTGCCGAGTGAAATGAAATTTGAACAACAGTAATGGTACCTTTAGCCAGTCACTTATTTTGACAAACACTAATTTGCATATCACCCATGCAATAATGTTTTCGGTATTTTCACGGTCGATATGCAAATGAACATGGTATTTCCATCGGCTACCGAACTATTTTTATTTTGTAAACACATTCTCGTCTGCTATTTTTGTCCGGTTCAAATCGTCAGGCAACATTTTTGGCGTGTTGGGTGTACATCACATGGAATACTACGATTGGGAGAACTTAATGTATGTTGACCACCTGGAAACTGAGTTATTTAAACTTTGAAGGGCTCTCGGGAGATCCACCAGCAGTGAAATTAGCGATTACTATGCAGC